TTTTAAAAAAATTTGAGCCCGATATTTCAAAATTTGCGGAAGTTAGAGCAACCACAGACATTTCTCAAAAAATTCCAAATTTGATAAAAAATGAACTCCTTTACCGATCTTTCATCGCCAAATTCAATACCAACCTTCCTTTAATGATACTCTACGTTTAAAAAAAATTTGAGCCCAATATCTCAAAATTTGCGGAAGTTAGAGCAACTACGAAAATCAAATCCACACACACACACACACACACACACACACAACACGGACATTTTGTAAAAATGTGATTTTTTTGACGTTTTAGAACATTCTAAACACATTGGCAAAGAAAACTGAAAAAAAAAATTTCATGAAAACAAAGCTTCCTCTATGAGGAAGCAATAGAACATATGTTTATATAAACTTTTTTCATTGTTTTTGTGTCTTCTATCCACTGCTGAAGCGGGTCCTACATGTAAGGAAACACTCTGTATATGCTTTATAAATAATCTATATTTCTTTTACATATTTTCACATATTAAACAATTAATATATTATCTTCATTTCAGGTAGCACATACACGTTTCAGAAATGTTTTATAAGCGTTTTTCCGAAACGTTTTATAACTGATTTCCAGAAATGTTTCTCATGAGTAAAAATGTCCATTCAAAAAACGTTTGATGGAACGTTTATTTCTTTTCCGATAAAATAACGTTTAAAAACTATTATAGAAACGTTTTGTTTTAATGATAAAGATTTTTAGATAAAGACATTTAAAATTTCTACTTTTCACGTCTTTTGAACGTGTTTATGACGTCTTTGAGACATGCGTGAGAATATTCTAGAAGCTTTATGCATACCATCTATGACGTCTATTCTTTTTCGAAGAAATTCCTGAACTGGTGCACATTCGTGCAATAAGTTAAAGTAAAACAGGGCCTACGCACAAAGATTGTCGTAACCGTTTACGACACTGTCGTAAGTCATACGCCGGTGTCGGAAGTCAACGCACAAAAATTGACGTTAGCGTATGTCGTATCCATCGCGTCGCATACGCGACGGATACGACATACGCTAACGTCAATCCTTGTGCGTGGACTTCCGACACCGGCGTATGACTTAAGACAGAGTTGTAAACGTTACAACAATCTTTGTGCTCTGGCCCTATACTTGTCTCACTCTGACTTAATTGCATTACTGATGTACACCAGTTCAGGAAGTTTTTCAAAACGGAACACACGTATAAATGTTCTTTTAATGGCCACGTTTAGCAGAACGTTTATTTTGCAACTGTTGGAAGTCTTCCAAGCTCAGATTTATCCGATGACAAATAGATTAAGACCGGTAGGACAAAATTAATTTAAGTAAATAAGTGGATATATGTGCACACATGGATAAAATGATTTATTTTGTGCAACAATAATTAGTGCAATATAAATTTAAATGTTTCAAAAAGGCTATTGAAGCTATTATATATATATAGATAAAGCAAATTATAATTTTGAAAGGAAAAATTTGACAAGTAGGTATTTTTGTTAACTGTAGAAACGTAAAAAATACGTTTCTTAAATCATGGTTTCAACAACATTTTTGTTCAAATTTAACGTTTCTTGGTTTCTTTACGGTTATGGAACTATGTATACGTTCAAAAAACGTATATAAAACTAATATGTGCTACCTGGGTATATATTACTTTATAATTTATATATAAGAACTGTAACCTTCTTTTACCACATAGAAAAAACTCTAACACCATAGTATTTAAAAATAAAAGTATTAACAGAAAAGGAAGTTGTATAAGAATTAATATTTATCTTAATCATTTGTTTTGTTTCCTTTCTTCATCTGACATATTGGAAATATATTTGTAAGAAGGGTATGCATTTTAGGCAATTTGGAAACCAAAGATCGTTCACTCTTTTTTTACAGTTCTCACAATCAGTTTTACTTGCTGAATTCGAAAATTATGGTCAAAATATATAGTCTTAATGTCAGGGAATTTTTGAGATACATTTTAAATAAAGAAAAGCAACGGTTGACTTTATCACTTTATCTCACCTTTCTCTCCTTATGTTTTTATTAAAATCATGGCTTTACTTAGACTAAAGAATAAATAAGATTTTTATTACGTATGGGATAGAGATATAATGATTTGAAAAGGTTCCAGGGATTCATTGAATAACACGCTATTACATTGAAAAACTTTATTACTACAAGACCAGAAAAGCGTAATCAACGCAATCATAAGATAGGAATTGTTATTCTTTTGTTTTTCACGGGGAATAGAATGTACTCATACTCAACAATTCTTTTCTCTTTTGGAATTGATTGTCATATAAATTCTCGGTAAACGTTACGGTCCCATTCAATGGTGTATACTATTGTGGCGGAAGACAAGTACGTGTTGATCGATGTACCACTTGCGGGGGTATATCAAATTGCTGAGGAGAGCCTTGTAAATAGCGGTGTCGTCGGTTTTATTCGACTCCCGAGTTGATTTAGAATCAATATTATATGACTTCCCAGCTAGCTTGGGTCAAAGGTGCCATTACCCATATAGCCAAATGCTGTGAGTTTGCTGCCATGTTGCCAACAAGTAGCTTGTCGTTAATGCAACTAATTTTTGACAAACTCGGGACAAGGTGAGACAGCATTATGCTTATCGGGTTGAACTCATATGAATTATATTTCTATTAACAGCAAATTGATTGCAACGTGACAACATCAATTTATGAGGGATTTGTGACAATTTCATATTGTCAACACTTCGTTAACAACGAGATACAATTAAAAAACTTTATAGCTTGATGATATATAGACAATAACGAGTGGAAATTATAATATATGTGTTGTTGCCGTCATGTTTGCATCATGATGCTCAAGATGGAACGATAAATCATTCATTGCTGTCATGTAGCTGACATGTTGCAGACAACATGACGTACCGATATTGCAGATCGTTTGGTCTGGAAATTGCGTCAACTGATTGCATGTATAAGCAGTCGTGTAGCTGTATTTGTAACGTGTTCTATTTCGATGTCAGCAAATTTACAGCAAATATATGAAAACACATTCAATGTATTATTAGTTTGCTCAATATGCTCTATCACGCTTGGCTATCAGGGTATAAACAACATTGAGCTAGCTGTTCGAGAGTTCTCATAGAAGCAAATTCTTCGAGGTGGTTAGGTATCTTATTGCTTTGAGTTGATAATTTAATGTTCGTAGACTTCGATACTGTTTCGTCTTTAAAGTATGATCATATCTAGTCAACGTATCGCTTAAAACGTTTATCTTGATAATAATCGATCTCATGGTGAAGATCTCCTAATCGAATAACAATTTCTCCTGCCACCTATTTATCCATTTGGAGATTATCCAAAAGAAAGTAAAAATATTTCTGCAATGTTTCTGCAATTTTTTTGTACTGTATGGGAACTAGAAAATTAAAGGGTTTCTGGGAATATTGCAAATGTTTCCAAGTTTCACAATCCCCACATTAATTTGCAATTAAGAGGCCCATCTACAGTACCTGCATTGTGGTACGTCAAAAATCGCTTAAAATCGAGCTGATTTCGATATTATTTTGAAATTTTCTCGAAATCAAGCCCGTTTGAATCAATATTGTCTGCGTTCGGAAACGTTACCCGAGTGTACACGTACTCCTTTCTATTTCTATCTCAGCGAGTTAGAAGGAGAAGGGAGTATACCCGTGTGTACCCGGATGACGTTTCCGAACGCAACCATTGCAATGAATCTCTATTTCTTTTCGATGACCACATTTTGATATTATTTTGACTTTTTATTTCTTGCTAGGTTACCGGATATCTTATTAAAAATGTCTTAATTGTAATGAACTATCTGATCAAAATAATTACGCATCGCAACAGAAATAGTGTTGATTTCCGTAAAACAAATGTACTATTTTTTAAAAAAAGTTTTGAAATAAAAAAATTGTGCCAAATAAAAAAAGGAAATATAAAAGTTTTAAAAAATTAAACATTTTTAAGGGAATCCTGGAGTGACGGCCGAACTCCGACGAGAAAGCACCCTCTCATCTAAGCGGAATTAAAAATATCGATTATTTTGATCATTCTGTCCTTATCCAACGAGATCCTACGAGATATTTGTTCTTGTCAGATTGCAACGCTGTGTAACTGCATATGTGTACAATGTGTACATGCATAAAATCTGCGATTAATGAAAATCTTTCTTATTATATAGGCTTTTAAATTTAGTTTCAATGATCCAACGTTGTTCTTTGATCTAGTCCGATTAGTGGGGTACTTTCGATTTGTACACGTAAGCTATATAATTTGTATATTAAACGAAAGTTTCCATGAATTAGTGACAGCTCTAGGTACAAAAGGTTAGGTACACCAAGTAGTGTATCAAATATAATTTTTTCAATTCTTTTAAGTTTTTAGTCTTCAATTTACCACGCCACCCGTCATTTCTGTATGTACTTTAAACGTGTTAAAGAAATTTCAAATCTGTAAAGCCAATTCCAAGAAAATCATACACCTATAAATATCGGTTATTGCCGTCGCTCTAGGATCCCCTTAAACCTACTAAGATAATAGAAAATATTTTAATGTATATAATATTTAATTAAAATAAAAAAATATTTAATGTACAAAATTTTGCGCTGCTAGGTAATGAAAATAAATAATGTTTTTAATGTAGACCTGAACATGACACACACGTATCGTATATGTTTATCACATTTATTTATTTATTTCGGCCGTACTTGGTCTAGCAACACTAACAATAAGTTTTTTGCATTAAATATTTTTTTTATTTCAATCTAATATGATATACATTTAAATATTTTATATTACCTTGGTGGATTTAAAAATGTTTAATTTTCTAACATTTAACATATTTCCTCTTTTTATTTGGCGCAATTTTCTGATTTTAAAACTCTTTTTCAAAAAATATATTACATTCTTCTTACGGAAATCAACACTATTTATGTTGCAATGCATAATTATTTTATATTTTTGATTGGATATATTAAAATAATTTTGTACAATAGTTTTTCATACTGGTGCGTGCACTTGGTGACTTCTTTTGAAAAGGTAATTTTCTAATAATATTCTTCTTTAATTTGTTAAACATTTTTAAGCAATTATATGATTTAAAATTTAAAGACAGCATAATATTTATTCCTATATGTATTTTGCAATGTTTTATTTGTTTTTAAACTATGTTATTATCTCTGAACTCTTTTTTTCTTTTTGCTATTTGGATTGTATATAACATATCTGCTTTTAAATGAGATAGGGGAGACCAGGGCTAAAACGTCTACGGGGTAAATACGTCTAATCAAATATCTCGGAACCTGTATATTGTGCGAACTCGCTATTAACATTGTAAACGCTGCTTATGGTACCCATGTGACCAACGGAGTTTCGGCAGGTTAGCTGCCGTGTTATAATTTTTACGAGGGCAAACGTGTTTTCGGAAGGTGAAAGTGAAATTTTTTGCGCGTGGAAATTTTGTAATACCTGCAATAATATTTGCTCTCCAAATCTCGAAGTACGTGATTATAAAGAGTAATGCATGCTGAACACGAATCCAGTGTAGTTTTTTCATTATCGTTGATGTATAATATTTTATGGGCGATCAAAACCGAAACTTGTGTTTGGGGCTAATCAGTCTACAAGCCCCCGGGGCTAATCGGGCTAATCTCGTCACTGTGGCGCGCCGGGCGCACGACTTCAGCTCACGGCGATTTCAGGTTAGGTTTCCCTCGAGCGTGTCAGGCGTGTCTTTCCTTGCACGTGCATCAGTTTGTGTAGGAGAGAAATGGTACGCACGTATCGTCGCAAAACGGGTGTTTTGGAGTTTTGGCCGACCGAAAGATGGCGGACCGTTGTTTTCGAGATCGCTTACGCTTACGGCACGTCGAGGTATGGCGCGACGAGGCACGGCACGGCTCTGAGATCCCGCGATTTCCGCACGCGTAGTAGATCGTCCAGGCCGCGATAGATCGTCGTTGTTGGTCGTTGTGTGTTGTGTCAGTGACAGTCGCGCGTGCAACCGCATCGTCCAGCGTTCGCCGCATCGTCTCGGCATCATTGTCGCCGCCGTTGTAGTGGTGGTGGTGTCAGTGGTGGTGGTGGTGGTGGTGGTGGTGGTGGTGGTGGTGGTGGTGGT